GGAAACAATTTAATTAGCAGCTATTATAAAGAATGTTTTAAAGGACATCAATGAAAAGCCAAACATGAGACACAGGAGAAGATGTGGAAGGTCCCTTCAGGTTGAGTTGTGCCACCTCCAGAAATGAGGATTCATGCTTGTTTACCTTCCTGGAATCCCTCTGAACCCATGCCTTTTTAGGATTTGTTTTTTTTCTCGTGCTGGAAATTGAGCTCAGGGCCTCATGCATGATAGGCCAACTCTCTACCACAGTTATATCACCAGCCCTCCTTCTGTGTTTTCATAAGAGACATATTACTAGGCATGATTAAATGATCAGTCATTGATGACCAACTCGACCTTCTGCCTTCCCCCTACCCCAAGCAGGGCCGGGGAATTCAAACCCTCTCTGGGCACTAGCTTGTCGCCCTTGCCAACTAGACTGCCATCCAGTGGTTATCTGGAAACTTTTTAAAAATCACCATTAACATCAGATCAGATATGGTTGAAAGGGGTTTGTAACCAGAATGGCTGCTCACACCTGTAATCCCAGCACTCTGGGAGGTTGAAGCAGGAGGATGGAGAGTTTGAGTCCAGCGCACGCAACTTAATAAGATCCTGTCTCAAAATAAAAAATGAAAAGGGCTGGGGATGCAACTCATTAAGAAGGCCCAGGGTTCAATCCCCAGAAAAAAAGTATACCACAGAAAGTACAGCTGTGACGTGGAGATTATTGTAAATAATAAAGACTGCCTTTATTCTTCAGGAACCAAGGGGAAAAGACTAAATATCATAACAAGAGATGTTCCTATTACTCCAGTCACACAAAGGCTACAGAAGCCTTGAGCCAGGAACTATGAAGGAAGCCAACCCACCCCAAAACCTCCCCCCACCCCCTCACCCCCACCACAAGTATCATTATCAAAATACCATAGAAGTATAACTAATAAACCACTAATATAGATAAAATGGAAAACTAAAAATTACTAAACTAATCTGAAAGGAAAAGAGAATGACAAATAGGACAAATAGAAAACAACGAGCAAGATGATAGATAAAACCCCAATTAAACAGAATAAATAAAATCCTACAAATTAATAGCAAGCTTGTCAATTTTAGAAAGAAAATCCAAACCTTATAGTGCTTACAGAAAACACAGTTTAATATAATAGTTCAGTAACTGTAACAGGTTTAAATAAAATGAATAAACTAAGATAAATGAGGTAGTTGTACCGATACCAAAAAAGTAGATTGGGAGACAAGGACTATTACCCAAGGCAAAGATGAATGTTTCATAATGATAAATAGGTTAACTCACCATGAATGTCACCCAGCCTAGTGCCTACCTGACCTAGCTGTTTATCTCTGAGGGCAAGATAGATGTCTGCAGTCCAGAAGTTCCTCTACAGGTAGACCAGCCCAACCTAGGGGATCTGAGACAGCCACCAGAGTGACCCACAGATGACCTCTAGCTTCATTCCAATTTCCACACTGACACCACCACCAGCCAGCATAGCCAAAACTCCACAGCATAAAAGGAAGAAAAGAATTGTGCTGGCACTCGACCTGTAAGAATTCTACTCCCCTTTAATACCCTATTAGGATCTTGAGACCCCACCCCTTGATGACTGAGAAACTGGTTTGCCAGGTAGGGTCCCACATCTCCATTCCTTCACCACTGAATAAACTTGTACTTGGTCTCATCTCAGGCTTTGCAACACTGGATGGAAAAATACCTATCCTGGGGGTCCCTCTTTTAGGAGAAAAACAACAAATTGTGGGTAACAAGAAAACATGAGAAGGTGGCTCAGGCCTGTAACCCCAGCACTCTGGGAATGCAAGACAGGAGGATCACAAGGTTGAGCCCAGCAGTAATTTAGCAAAACCCTGTCTTAAAAAAAATTTTTTTTTTAAATTTTTTAAAGGGCTGGTGATATAGCTCAGTGTAAAGGCCCTGGGTTTGATCCCCAGTATAAAAAAGAAGATGAAAGGAGAAAAAGAAGAAGAGGAGGAGGAAGAAGTGGAAGAAAAAGGAAAAGGAAGGAAGAGGAAGGAGGGAGGGAGAGGAGAGGGCAAAGAGAAAGAGGTCACAACAACAATAAATGCACACACACCTGAGAGAGTCCAAAAACAATGAAAACATCCAAACACATGTGAGTATCTCTAATCCAAAAATCTCAAATGTTCTAAAATTCAAAAGCTTTTGAGCATCAACATACCACAAACACAAAATTTCACATATAGCTTCATGTTCTGGGTCACCATTAAGACGCAAGCACACTAAAATGACTTTCAGGCAATGAGAAAAGAAGTTATACAGGAAATAGGAATGAATTTCACTTAAACTTTGGTTCCCTTCCCAGTATAACTCATAATATATATGCAAATATTTCAAAATTTTAAAAAATCCCAAATTCAAAGTATTTCACATCCCTGCATTTCAAATACAGGATGTTCAACTTAAATCTGAAAATTTAACATACTTTTATATAGCCTACAGGTCACAGACAAAAACCACAACAAAAATCAGAAAATACTGCCAAGTATGGTGTCACATACCGATAATCCCAGCACTCTGGGAAGCTGAGGCAGAGAGACTGCAAGCTGAAGCCCAGCTTAAGCAATTTAACAACTTAGCAAGACCCTGTCTCACAATAAAGAAAAGTTTAAACAATGGGTAAGGATGTAGCTCAGTTTGAAGGGACTTGGATTCACTCTCTAGTACAAAACAATTTTAAGTTAGAATTAGAAAATACTATTTATGTAACCGAATGGAATGGAAAATATAACATATCAATGTTTGTGGATGCAAGTCAAACAGTGCATATAAGAAATTCTAAAGCTTTAAATACTTATATTAGGAGAACTGTCTTAAATTAATTACCCTAACCTCCACCATAAGCCAGAAAAAGAGAACCAAACTAAGCCGAAACAAGAGTTCACTGGAATTCAATGAACAAAACATAAAAAGCTGAGAAGTCACTGAAACTGAAAAGGCTAATTCTTTGGAAAGATGGATAAAAATCCATTATCTATAGGGAGACCAATCAAGGAAAAGGAGAAAGAGACACACAGAGAGGGAGAAAGAGTGAGAGAGAGAGTGAGTGAGAGAGCGAGAGAGAGGGAAAGAGAGAGAGACAGAGAGAGAAAGACAAAGACAAAGACAGAGACACATCCAATACTTAAAGTAAAAGGACATCACCACAAATCTCACCAATATTAAGACTAACAGCTGGGCATGGTGGCGCACGCTTATAATCCCAGCAGGCTGAGGCACAAGGATTGTTCTGAGTTTGAGGCCAGCCTGGGCTACAAAGTGAGTTCAAAATCAGCCCGAACTGCACAGGGAGACCCTGTTTCAAAAAGACAAAAAAAAAAAAAAAAGACTAACCAAGTTCAAAGGATGAAATGGCAACAAATTGAAGATTATCACCAGCTTTATGTTACAATTCTAGAACAGGGCAATATGTATAAGATAGAAATAAGTGTTCAGATGGGCTCAGCACCAAAGGTTTCATTTTTTTTTTGCTTGAGACAGGTCTCACTATGCAGTCCAAGCTGGCCTTGAATGCAATTTGCAGCCCAGGCTGGCCTCAAATTTGCAGCAATTCTCCTGTTTCAGCTTCAAAGTGCAGGGATTACAGGTGTGCGCCACCACACATGGCAAAGGTTGGTTTTAATAGACAAAAGGACTGAGAAAAGCCGGAAAAAAACATCAGAAATAGACTGAACATTTCCTTATAAGGCAAGGACAGAGACAGAACAGTAAAAAATAACTAGCTGGTTAATGTCAGGTCATTTCACAACAGTGATGCAGTCAGGGATGGAAACAACTTCCAAAGGTGCACACTGGCCTGGTCTGCAAAAGCTGAGCATCTGCAAACACATCACACTGCAATGCTACTTCTAGGCATTTACATCCAACAGTACTTTGAGTCTGTGTACACCAAGAGACATGCCAAAGATTATTTACAGCAGGATTACTCCTCATAACCTAAAGGAGGAAAGAATCTCAATCACCGAAAAGATAAAGCACACTATGTTCATAAAATGGAACGCTACACAGCAACAAAAGGAAGGAAAAACCACAATGGTATACAAAACATGGGCCAATCCCACAGCTGTTATTCCATTTACATAAAGATCAAACACAGGTAACAGGAATATGCAGTGTAGGAAGGCAGGATAGTGGGCAAACGTCAGCACACAGGGAGGTAGGCAGGACTCCATGACGCTGACAGCATCTCAGCAGTGGCTACATAAGCACTTTGTCAAATTTGCTTTGAGATAGTTTAACAAACAATACTCTTAAAAATCATGCACTTTTCTGTTTACATGCTATTCTTCAATTTTTTCTAAAAAAAGCGATTATATATATGCTAATAATAGAAAGAACCCCAAGATACCTGTATGACTAAACAAAAATGAGAAACAACTGAATAGCATACACAAAATATTAACTGTTTTGTAAAATGACACATATTTGTATACTGACAAAGATGTCAGTATTCTGTGTACACTATTTAATCATAATGGCAACATTTATTCAACGCTACTTGCTAAGGTACTGCGCAGGGCACTTGACATGCATTGTTTCATTTATTTCTCTCAAAATGTTAGAAAGTCAGTCACAATATTATCCTTATTTTAAAAATTAGAAAACCAAGATAGAAAGGTATCGAGTGATTTGCCACCACTCCTAGCATAACTTGACAGGCTGGAACTACAGCCCAAGCTCTGTAGATGCCCCCTTCACCATCACACCACACAATCTCTGCAAAGACACCTGAGGAACCAGCAATGGTAGTGTCTCTGAGAAGAGGATTTGGGGCCTGGGGACACCTGGGACGAAGGCTGGCTTATCTCACAGTATTCACTAGGTACTTTTGCAGGAATATATTTGCCTCTTAAATCTTTTACCAAAAAAAGCATTTATTAGAATTTGTTTTCTACGTGTTGTAATCTCTGAGCTACACAGAACTGCTTTACCTTGAAGATAGTAATTTATTTTTCTACTTTACCTGACTTAGGATGCAAAGCATCACACTGGGCATTATACATGTGGACAAATTCTTGGTGCCTTTTAATGAGCTGCTGTTTATTTCCTTGAATAGATAATCCGTGCTGTTTTAGCTTTTTCTTTAAATCACGATCAGAGAGTAAGTTATATACAGTTTTGGGCAGCTGCTTCCTTTTTTGAACAGAACTGGAAAGAGGAAAAAAATATCTCTGATTATTGTGAATTACCAAATTCTTTCATGTAAAACTAACTTACCTTTGGATTTGACATGTGTGACTGGGAGAGTAGTACAGCTATAACATAAAGAGGAAAAGAGAAGGAGAGAGTTTGTGGGAGAAGTTTAACATTCAATAGAAGGGTATAGGCAGCACCAAATGAGACTTAGGTCTCAGAAAGAGGTCAGGACTAAAGAAGAAGGCTGGAAACATACACAGAAGGCTTATGGCCTAAGTGTTAACTTCCTGTAGGCTGCCACGTACGCAGATCTATTCAATTCTCTGTCTCTTTCAAGTATGCTTTTACTAAAATCTGCCCATGGCTTCCACATAAAAGTCCTATAAAAACCAGCTATCTTGGATGACTGGAGTATGAATATGACTGCAGGATATACTATGGATTTAAGGATATCTTATCACATTATTTCTCTAGAAAAAGTTCTGATCTACAGGCAAAACTTCATCTCAAATCCAAGGCAATCAATTTTGCAAAGGTACTGCACGAGAAATGGAAGACCTATGAGGATGGCTATCTTCACTTTATTCATGACCACAGATGAAGAAAGAACTCAGAAAGCTGGCCCACAGGTAATATCGGTGTGGTACACTTTTGCAGTGTAGTCTTCAAAGAAGAAGCATGAAAACAACAAAAATATAAAAGGGTTGTATTCTCTTCATCTTCAATTATTTATGTTAGTAAATATATAAGGTCTTATAAAGAGTGAATTAGCAAAATCATCACCCAGCTTCTCATTTTTCCTTCTATTTTCTTTCTCTTGTACTAAGGATTGAACCTAGAGCCTCCACACTGAGCTCTACCCACAGGCCTTTCTTTAATTTTTGAAACAGATCTTGCTGAGTTGCCCAGGCCAGCCTCAAAGTTGTGGTCCTCATGCCTCAGCTTCCCCAAGGGCTGGGAGTATAGATATGCACTGCTACCCATGGCCTTGTAGTACTGCATGATAAATCCACAGACACTAATACATGATTTTTCTTTAATGTGACCAAAGTCATATTAAATTATCTTCTCCTACTCTTTCCCCCCAAAGTGATTATAAACATCAAGCTACCTAAAAGTATAATGACTTGAGATAATTTCATAAACAGGAACCCCTTAGCCTCAGCACATCACAATTCAGCTCTATGGCTGAGGTACTTAAGTTTAAGTATTATCAAGGCACTCATTACAATTACAATCACTGCAAAATGAGAAAAGCAAAGATTCAGGTGAAAATGAATGGGAACTTGAAAGTAATAGGTTTATCCAGAAAACAGATTTACAGAGGATCTGCACAGAATCAGTTCACACCAAACTTCCCAAACTCCAGTACCCCTTAAATAGCTCGGACAGCTTGCTTACAATGCATATTTCCAGTCCCTTCTCCACAACACCCATCCACAGTGGTTCAGGCCAGAAGTGGAGACCTAAAACCTGTATTTTCAGTAAGGTTCCTTTGATAGTCAACTGACTGTGATAGTTAACTGACTATGGAGACCTAAAACCTATATTTTCAATGAGGTTCCTATGACAGTTAACTAACTGTGTCAATGTGAGTAAGAAACACCCAACTACACTGGGTCAGCATAGTTCTGGGTGTGCTTAAGGGATTTACAGAAGACAGAAGGCCCACCCTGGATGTGAGTAACAGCAACCAATCCGCTTGCTGCCTGAATGATAGAAAAGGGAAATTACGAAGGAAGGCTCCTTCTGCTTCTCTGGAGGAGCTCTAGTCTTTACCTTCACCTTGGAGGTCCTCTCCTGGCTTCCAGTGCAGACTCTTTAGGCTCTAGCATAGACCCTGCAGCCTCCTGATATAGGCTCACACGGGACACTAAAATGAGCACCAGGCCTTCAACCAGATCCTTTGGATCTCCAAACACAGACAGCCCTTTTGTAAACATTCACACCTGCCTCTGTGGGTAGCCATCGTAAGCCAATCTTGTACATTCTTATATATTTGTGTATCTTGCATTAAATCTGTTTTTCTAGTAAGTACTGACTGACACAGTTTCCCCGGGGTAAAGACCAGGTCCATAGATCATATATATAGAAATATTACACTTAAAAAAGACAGAACTACAAACATTTCTCTACTAACCAATAGTGCTATTTCCTGGGTAAATTATTTCTTTTATTCTCTATAACTAAAATCTAAAAGTAATTATTTAAGTATAAAAATATCTACAAACTCCAACAGAGTAAATTTTTCTGAAATCTGTTCTTATAATGACAGCCAACTGGACTCCATAAGACAGACAAAATTATGGCAAAATAAAATCACAGTAGGTAGCAACTGCTGAATCATTTTGCAGGCTTTTATAACAAGCACACAAACAGAAACAAATCATTAAATCCCTATCCAAAACATTTATTTTATTATGGACAGATTATTAAGCATATAGCTAAAATTCTAATAAAGAACTATATCGTTCACTGGCATTTACAATGAAAAGCACTACCTGAGATCAACAATTTGTCAGGAATTTGAAAACAGGAAGAGGAAAGTTTCCCCAAACATAAAAATGACACTGATCTATCTTCTGTGATTTAGTGAAACTGAGTATTGCATTTGAGAGCCCTTGCAATCTGACAACATCAAAGGATGAATATGTGCTTTGAATGAACCATGAGGCAATTTCATACAGGATGTGTTAAAGGTTTTCAGCCACATCTAAGTAAGGGCTTGTCGGGGTATTGCAGTGGAGACTGAAAAATAGGCCAAGGCTCTTCTAAGTGGCCAGATGTCCAGTCCGGTATATAACTAAAGAGAGATGCTGCTAAATGGCTCCCTAAGAATATCTGCCCAATTCTTCAAGACGTGAATTATCAGGGCAAAAAGGTCAATGGCAAAAAACAAACTCAGGAATTACTTCATGAAACAATACTCCATAGTTATCTTTATGTAGGGCTTCCTATGGTCTTCAATACACTAAGAAGGTAACACAGGCTACACTGATTCTGCACTACACTACCGACCAACCGCCAAGACTACAGCATTCTACAGAGCAGGACTTGAAATCATTCCGGGAACTTAAACTTAATCACACATGTACAAGTATGACTTTGAATGAACTGACAGAGCTAAATGTATTATAATACAATTGATGAATCTAGAAAACAAAGCCCAAATAAGATTATCAGTGATGATTTCTTACTTTAGGTAGAAAATACTCAGCTTCTATACTCCCAACTCACTTTTTGGGGGAAAAAAAAAAGAGAAAAAGAGAAACAACTTCTCAAGAGAAAAGCCAGCCTTGAACTATCCAGTTTCATTTATTCCAAATCCCCATTAAGTAACCTAAACTTCTTACCCTCATCAACAAAGTAACCCCCGGGTCTGGAGGCAAGTGCACCGCAGTGTAACTTAGTGAGCAGTGACTGTGCTTCCTAGGTCAGAGGGCACAAGTTACCACAGCATGAATCTGTCCTTCAGAACTTGCATTCGCCCCAGGTTTACTTCTAAAAAGAGATAGCTTTTTTATCTTTAATCATAAAAAAGTGGTAAGATGGCCCTGCCTTATTAGCATGGTTTTTGGAAAACATCGTTCCTACATCTTCAAAACAGATCAAAAAAGAAGGGTCACTCATTCTATTCATCCCCACTTTCCAAGTACTACTCATGTCTTCAGCTTCCTTCCTCTTGTTTCCCAAATTCTCTGAATTATTACCTATTCTCTCCCTTTCCTCCTGTTCAAAATAGTCCTTCCAGCAAGTCCAGGATAACTTCATTACCGAACTGCTGGTGTCTTGCGTTCAGCACTTTGTTCCACTGATCATCTGCTCTCTCCCTGCAGAAACTACCAGAAAAGAGACCGAAGGCTTAAACAACCCTTATTGTTAAAAACGAAATCTTTCCTTGATGGTGCTATTCACTCTCCCTAAACTACCACCTCACTTCTTCCCTTTATCATCAGACTCATCTAATTTGCTTCCTTATTATCTTCATGGGCCATGGACTCTGCAAAACCTAACAATTAAACTTCAATTAAAATTTCATTCTTAAGCAGTTTATATGTATGACAATAGCGGGCTGGTTTAAGAAATTATTGCTACTTTGATGTATAATGGAGGCAGGATAGCACAACAGTTGGATGCAGATAATGTGGTGATGACTCATTAGTTGTATAACCTAGGTGGTTTGGAAGGAATGACATTATGTTTGATACACACTTTTGAACCTTTTTTGTATTATGTATCTATACCTGCCTTGTCAAAAAGATAAGTAAATCTTTTTAAAAACCTGATTTGAAACTTTCAAGTATCCTGAGAACTGAAGAAAGGTTTTATATTTTGTATATTCAGAATCTAGTCCTGCTTTCTGTGGCTAAGAGATTTTATAGGAGTTCTAAAATTCTAAGAAGAAAAAGTTTCTAGAAAGAACTTAATTCTAAGTCATTAATTCCTGAGGTCAAATTTTTTAAAAGTTAAATATATATTCAACATATTTAGCAGTTATATATTTAATATCATATCTGGCAAAGTGAGAGTTGAAGAAAGAACAAGAGGAGAGGGAATGGGAGCAATGTCAAACAGAATTAAAGGAAAAAGTGCCTGGGAGAGGGAATATGACAACTGGCCAAAGAAACAAAATACTGAATGTTTTTCAAGTTTATATGCACCAGAAGCATCTAGCTAAAGTAACTGAAGTGGTATAGTCAACTTTCTTACCTTCTGAGGCTCTCCATCTTCTCTTCACGTGACAAACAGCCATCTAAGTGCTTATTAATATGATTTTCTGGAATGTTAACACCACAAACAGGGCAATCTACTGTATTTTTTAAAGAGAAAGAAGGACTTTATTATCTGTAGAAAGGGCAAAAGATAAGCTGAGATACCAATGTTGTCTAATCTAATCCATAAATAAAACATAGCCTGAAAGATGTACAGCGGAGGTTGGCAAACATGCTTAGTAAAGAGCCAAGGAGTCAACACTGAGGCCTTCTGGTCAGTCTGTCACTACTGTGCCGCTCTGCCACAGTACTGTGAAGGCAGTGAGAGACAATACAAACAAATGTTGTAACAGTGTTCCAGTAAATTTTATTTACAAAAATAGTTGGCAAGCCAGTTTTGGCCTTTGAGTCATAATTTGCTAATCCTAGGTGGAAAAACAGTATGGAAATGAGCTTGGCTAGAACAAGGTAACTTTGTGAGAGGGAAAGAGAAGAAGTAAGGTGGGACGGCTAGAAATAAGGCAGAATAGCACGGAGGGGTCGGTTAAGGAGTGGTACAGTCAGAATAAAAAGAGCTCTTTAAGATTAAACCAGAACTACTACTTGGTGGGTGGGGCTACTGTCATACTTGGAAGTATAAGCTAATTAAACTGTTTGATTCTTGCAGCAACCACACTGCATTTCCATTCTGAGAGAAAAAGAAAACACATCTATAAACAATGACTATAACCACCTCTGAGACAGTAGGAAGGTGAAATCTGGTCCCTTTGTACTCCTTTCTTCTCAAAACTACTATTTATTCTGATGTCATATGGACACCGAAATTTTCATTAAGAAAATGCACATAGGAAAAAAAAAATGCACATAGGAAAATAATTTCTTACCTTTAACAACTTGTTTCAAAGAGGACGTAGAGGGTATCTCAGGCCTACTGGCATCTGAGGAGCCAGGTGTCATCTTTTCTGCAAAACAGGTTTCTTTGGTTTGTGTAGAAGGGCTTGCCTCTTTCTGATGGCTGAATTTGCTGTCATTTTCTTTTATCAACAATGCTGATGTAGAACCACTAGGGTCTCTGACCAAAAACTTGTCCATTAATGTGCTGCCCTGCTTTAAAGAATGTCTGAAGGCTCCAGGACTCTGTACTTTGACAGCCAGCTTCTTTGAGGAAGAAGCGGGAGATATAGGAGGTGACTCTAAAGCAAACTGTAACAGATGATTCCTTGAGACACAAAAAACAACAGATATCAAGTTATATATAATAAAATTGATCAACATGAGCTGTTTTCCCAATTAACACCTGTTTCTCTAAAATACAAAATTTGTATCATACAAACCAACTGCAGTTTTTCCTAGAATAAAACAGAAAGTAATAAATCTAATTTAAAAGGTAATTAATATGTCTATAAAAGAAAATAGAAGAGTTGGGCACAGTGGCACACACTGGTAATCTCAGCTACACTGGAAGCTGAAGCGAAGATTTTAAGTTCTAAACCAATCTGGACAATATAGCAAGATCCTGTCTTCAAACAAAAAGTAAATGTAAAAAGGAGTGGAGCTGTATAGCTCAGTGTAGAGTGCTGCTTAACGCAGGCAAAGCCCAGACTTCAATCCCTAGTACCTTTTTTAAAAAGGACATGGAAAGACTTTAGGACCTGGTTACAGCAAAAAGCTGACAAGAGACTTATTCTCCAATTGTAAAATCTGGAAAAAACATCTAAAACTATTTACAGGCTCTAGAGTAGTGATGGCAGACCTTTTAGAGATGAGTGCCCAAACTGCAACATAAAACCTGCTTATTTATCACAAAGTGCCAACACTGCAATTAAACCTGAACACTGAGGTTCTGGTTTAGAAAAAACAACTCATACATTAACATCTTTTGTTGTAAAAGAAAAACAAGTAACATGTATGTCATAGGTTTGCCACCACTGCTCTACAGTACAGTCAACACAAAACTACCATGTCTGAGAAAGAACAGTTAAATGAAGTGATCCAACATTCCCCCAGAAGTCTGCCCTGGAAGCATTTTCTGGGAGCTGAATATAGAACTGAGGTCCCAGGACAAGGAAAGATCTCGCTGGGTAGAAGGAACAGAGAAGGGGGAGGCAGACTGGGGGATTAGAGTGACTGCCATGTGATAGCCGCAAAAAGGGAACCACAAAAATCTGCATAGAAGGGTGCATAACCATACACAAAAGCACAGGAGGCCTGGCAAGAAGCAGATACTGGTAAGTTGAAATTCCAAAAGATTGATTTGAAACATTGTTGGTATTCAAGTGTGGCCAAAGGGGAGAGATCCCAGTGAAGACCATGGAAGGTCAGATGAGATTCCACAAAAGCCACATCTTAGGAAAAATGACCACCCTATACGAACAAGACTGAACTACCCAACCTAACAAAACACTACACCAGGACTTGTTGAAGAAAAAAGAGGAAAATATACACAAATGGATTTTTTAAAATGTTGTATTACCAGAGAGAACTAAAATCCACACAAAAGAATCAATGAACATTCTATAATTACAAAATACTATATCTAAATCAAATGACTATAATACCAGAAAATAGAAGACAGTAAAATCAATAGAAAACACAGAAACACTCAAACTGATGCACAGAAGAAAGAATAAAAAAGACAGGAAAAAATGTATGGTATCAACACATAATCAGTATCCCAGGACCAGAAACAATGAAAAATAACCATTAGGAAAATCAATGACTGAGAATTTTCCAACCCTGATGAGGAAAAAAAAATAAAATAAAATCAACCCATAGATTTCTCCATTGCATAATTCACACAAAATTCAATAAAACAAAGATAACTAGAAGTTCTCTAAACATTAAGAAATTAAGCATCACAATTCTTAATAACCCAAATGATCAAATCATAATGGATATTATAAAGTAGCTTGAGTTGAACAATAACATGGACGTCTGCCAAAACAATCCCTTGAGGGACAATTTTAATGGAGCAAGAAGCTAAAAAATCAATACTCTAGCTGAGCACAGTGGCACAGGTCAGTGATTCCAGCAATTTCACAGGCTAAAAGCAGGGGATTATGAGTTCAAGGCCAGTCTGGGTAGCTTACTAAAACCCTGTCACAAAAGTCATTATTTTAAACTTCCAACTTTCCAATTTAAAAGTTGGTAAACAATGAGCAAACTCAAACCAAAGAAGGAAAGAAACTGCAGTAGAGACTACTACAGTAGAAAAAAGACAAGAGAAAATGAACAAAGCCAAAATTTGCCTCTTTAAAAAAACTTAACAAAATCATTAAATTCCTACCAAGTACAAAAAGTAAAAATATAAATTTACAAAACAAAGAATTAAAAGGAGATACCATTACAGACACTACAGATATTAAAGTAATTAGAGAATATTATGAGCAGGTTATAGCAATACATTTAAATTTTTGGATGAAATGGATAAATTCCTTGAAAAGCACTATTCATCAAAATTGAAAGGAAGAAACAGAAAATCAGATGAATCCTTATTATCAATTAAGGAAATGTGAACTACAATTTAAAAAGCCTCCCTACAAAGGAAAGCCACAGCTCAGATGGCTTCACTGGTGACTTTTACCACATATCCAGTGGAAAGACATTATTGACATTGCACAGACTAGTCTAGAAAACAGAAATGAGATGATATTCCCCAACTCATGTTGAAGCATGACCTTGTAAAACCAGGTAAGCATATTACAGAAAATAAAAATTATAGTTCAACCATCAAAATATAGACATGAAAATCCGAGAAAAATGCTAACAAATAAAATCTAGAAACAAATTAACAAAGTTTATCATGACCAAGTGGGATTTATTCCAGAAAAACAAGGTTGCTTTATTATTTGAAAAAGCAATCAATGTATTTTACTACATTAGAAAATAAAGTAGAAAGATGATATAATCATCTCAAAAGAGGCTAAAAAGCACGTGACAAAATTTAACAGCAATTTATAAATAAAAACACTCCAGCAAATCAATAGAAGGAAATTTTCTTAATCTGATAAAAGATTACCTTCAAAAACTTAGAGCTAACATCAATCATTCATGAAATGTTGAATGAGTAGTTTCCCCTAAGATTGAAAACACTGCAAGGATCTGCTACCACCACCTCTTAAAGCCTTAGTAGAAATCTCAGTCTAAGTGGTGAGGCCAAAAAAACAAAAAGAAATAAAACAAATATAAAGGGTACAAAGACTGGAAGAAACTTTCATGTATGTACAAATCTCAAAGAATCTACAAGGAAGTAGAATCAACATTCTACAAGGCACTGGCTATAATGTCAATAAACAAAAAATAATATGCCTATACACTAGCAATCAGAAAATAAAATTTTAAAATCATTTAAATACTATCGAAAATACTCAGAATAAATTTAACACAATGGTTCAAAATCTCTATCCTCAGAACTACAAAACACTGGGGCTGGGGATTTAGCTCAGCGGCAAAAGCGCCTGCCTGGCAAGCGCAAGGTCGTGAGTTCGGTTCCCAGTACCGGAGAAAAACCAAAAAAAAAAGAACTACAAAACACTGCTTAGCAAACTAAGAAATCCATGCATAGTCATACATATCTATAATCCCAGCTACTTGGGAGGCTGACACATGAGGATCTTGACACCAGGAGTTTTAAGACCAGACTAGGCAACACAGAAAAAGCCTGAGTACAAGGGTGGGGTTGGAGGTATGACAGAAAGTCTAAATAAGTGAAGAAATAGTCCATGTCCACAGACTTAGAGACTCATTGAGGTTAAGATGTCCATTTCTTCCACACTGATTTGTATATTCAGTGTAACCCCAATCAAAATGCAAGCCACTTTTTGGGGAGCAGAAATGATATATTCATTCTAAAATGTATATGGAAACCCAAAGTCCCTAGAAAGCCAGCAGTCCTGAAGAACAACAAAGTTAGAAAAACTGTATTACCAAACTTTAAATGCTTATGATACAGCTACAGTTTTAAAGATACTACAGTATTAGCTTGTAAAGAAATAATGGCTAAGTGGGCATGACCTGTCAATCAGGGAGATCCAGGACACAGGCAAATAACACAGCTCCCCAGGGCTGCCCAGGATACTGATCAATTCATTGATCAGAGAATGCTATCTGTAGTTCTGGTGCCTGATCAAGCAGGCTTTCGATAAAACAGCCTAGATCTCACATCAGCATGGGGGACACAAAAGACTGAGGCCATTGACCTCGGGGCCAGTGTGCTCTTTCTCATTGGCCCATTCTCACTCGTCAGAGCATACTTCTATTTTTACCTTTAATAAATGTAAAACCTCCCTACCTTTTCTGCTTGTCTTGGCCAATTCTTTGTTCAGAACAAGAACCTGGCTCTAGAAGGACCCCACAGCTCCCCAGAATCCCAGTAACGGTAAACTACAATTTAGGGGCTTCTTTTAATAAATGGTGCTACAACAACTGAATACCTTCTGAGAAAAAAATGAACCCTGGTCCTTACTCCCAACATACACAAAAATTAACCTGAGTAGGTTTGAAGACCTATATGTAAAAGGTAAAATGGTAATAAGTCTAGAAGAAAACATATCAAAGTATCTATTAGGCAAAGAATTCTTGGGCAGGATTCAAGAAGCACTAATCATTAAAAAGAGAAAAGTAAACTTAACTTTATCAAATTTAAGCATATGCTCACCAAAAAACACCCTTAAAAATCAGAAAGCAATCAGGTATGGTGGCATATGCCTATAATCCCAACACCCTGGAAGGCTGAGATACAAGAATCTCAAGTTGAGACCAGGATGGGAAACTTAGAGACTTAGCAAAAATACTGTGTCAAAATAAAATATAGAACTGGGGAGACTTCCAGGACAATGGCAGAGTGTTAAGCAACAACTCCAGATTCAGAACAATCCAGACACTGGAAGATGACAAGTTGGGGAAGAAAAGAAGGAAAAAAGTAGATCCCTGGGACCAACAAAAGATCTGATGGGAAAACTGAAGCCTACAGAGAAACTAAAGAGATAGACCGCAACACAGAAAAAGGAAGGGGCAATCTGCACTTTATCCCCAGCTCCTGGCTTGTGGCTCATGAGAAAGGAAAACCAAATCTGTAAGATAAAGTAAAAGTCAGAGATCCAGAAGCCTTCAGGGAGAAACACAGCAGTGGAGCAGACCTGTAGATAACGATTACTGCAACAGGCAGTGAGTGCCTCCAGTCCAAACACCCACTATGCCCTAGAGAGAGTGGTCAGATGC